GCAGCAGCAGGGCTGCTTCCCCCAGCCAGTGGGTGGGCTGGGACCCCCCATGTCAGTGCACGGGTGGCATTAGCTGGACCCGCGGAGCCCCATCGGCTCCGAACGCCTGCCTGGATGGACCCAGGGCGACCACAAAGGTTTTCCGCCCACTCTACCAGGATGAATATTTAATGCGGGATTAAACATTCACGCTGCTGGGCTCCAGCGCGACACGGGGCGGGAGAGCTCGGCCCTGCCAAGGCCATGAGCTGGTGCCTCTCCCGGGGATGAAGCTCCACCGCGGTCCTTGACCCACTCGTGCCCTGAGACCCGGCGCTGGGTGTGGGGTGCAGGGAGCCGGGTCCGGGCTCCCCCATCCTGCTGCCTTCTGCTGCTCTGTGCCCAGGCAGGTCCCTGCAGTCCCCTGCATCCCCCCAGCTGGGAAGCCCAGGGGCAACAAGCGCCCCGGGGGCTCCGAGTTGCCTTGTCACAAGTGCCCTTGGATTCAGACCAAAGCAAACGTGGCCATTAAAAGCGTTTTTAATTCAGTGGTGCCTCGTGCTGTGCCTCTTGTGGCTGCGGGACGTGGGGAGGGCAGCTGGTCGCAGGGCTGCGGTGTCCCGCTCTCCTGCCAGGCTATAAATAAGAGGGGGAGTTGACGAGGGGGTAGAGCTGAGTCTGAGCACTGAAGAGGGTGCCGAAAGCCGGCGGTCGAGATTATTTTGGAACCAGCAGCTGCGTCTCCGTGGGACGGGTACTGGCCCTGGTGTGGATTTCGTGCTGGGTCCATGGTGATCCTTGGTCCCACAGGGCTCAATGCTGCCGGGCTGCAGGCAGGACGGCTGCCAGCTCCTGCATCCCCGGAGAGACGGGGCACGGCACGGGTACCTGTGCGGCCCTGAGCCCGGCTGCATGGAGCTGCCACAGTGGCTCTTTGAACCCATAACAGATGCCATGCGTTTGAGCGGGGCAGGCGGTGGCTGGGGGGCCGGGGGCAGGCAGGAGGGGCAGACAGATCCGTGTTCACTCCCATTTCAGCTGAGGCCCAAGCGCTGGGGTCAAGCGAGGAG